AGTAACGTTATTAGTTACCGCAAAAGGTAGTTGTGTTACAGTAATCTGGTTAGTCCCAACACTGGTTACGACACTAGTTTAGCATATTCAGCCCGGTTGTTGGCCCGGTAAGAACCTCCATTTTGGAGGGCCAGAAAAAAGGTGAAAAAGTAGCCCTGAGCCGGAACTACCCCTAGTGGAAAAGCAAAAAAAAGGGCTTAAACCGTGCTACGTGCTGCAGTGGAAAAGCGCCATAATAAGACAATATCTAGTGACTTATAGAGATCTCAAAATGATCAGGTAAATATATTAAGTAAAGGAATGTCAGAAAATGCATTGTGTTTCTGTTAGCTTTCCCATGACCAAGAAAGTATATGTTTTCCTTTGGTGGAAAAGGGAGATAAAGATTGTGGAGTTCTTAAAGTTCTCACAATACAGAGTTGGAACTTCGTGCAGTGGAAAGGTGATGTTATAACCTCTTGTTACAAGACTGAAACCGTCTGGTGACTACTCTGGTAGCTTCGAAGGGTAGATGGAAACATGCAGTTTCACTACAGTATTCAAGACGTAAAGGATCAACACCAGGAACAAAGGCACTTTAATAGTTAAGCAAAATTGTTTAATTTGCCAATAAAGACTTCTATTTTTCAATACGTTGTACACCTATTACTGCCTGGTCATAGAGTTTGCCCTCCCTTGAGGGTCAGAGGTCAAGAATGTTGGCTTCCAGTAACTCAGTACACTGACAGATCACTCCCAGCTCTTCAGTGCAACTGAGATGACAAGGTATGCAGATGAAGATACTGTGATAGGGGGAAACTGTAGACCTTCTCTGGGTAGTATAAAGCAATAAACGTAGATTCTCAATGTCAAAAAAGCATATTTGTCATCAAAACTTTGATTCTTAAGGTCATACTCATCTTTCCTTTAGCTTAAAGTGTCAACAAATATTGTTGTATTCAAATACAGTACAAATATTTTTGGAGGAATCCTAGTCAATGTTCAAACGTTGTACTGCTGCATATTAACAGCACTGAAATGTATTCAACACTATTCCTGCTGCTTCAGTGCGGCTGATATTACTTACAGCTCTGGAGAGTGTGAAGTGTGAATAGGAAATCTTTTTATAGACTTCATCATAAGATTAAATATCATAACTAAATGATGCTCCTACTGCGCCTAAATGACAGGCAGTGATCAGCCTTTGAATTTATGTAAAAGTACCATTGTGATCCATGCATGGCAAGTGTGCAGGTGTGGTTTATTACATTTAAATATCAATATTGTACATACATTTGAAATGAAGGGTATTTATGACCCACACACTGTCTCTACAGCATCAAGTGATAACTCTGCAATCCCTGCCAAACGCCAGAAGCATTACTAGAAAAAAACGACAACATGATTTCTTGTTTTCACACACACCGCTGGATGATGTCCATGTGAGACAGCCTACAGTCCATTACTGAGTAAAGCCTGTCGTGGTGCAGTCGGAGCACAGCTGCAACAAGCACCACTAATTATTGTTCGTACATGACTCTCAGGCCACTGCCTCCCTCTGGTGTCAAACACTGGGACAACAATGATGCTCTGCAAAATATCATCCAATAGAACGATACCCTGGCAGCCTTTGACTGTGCAGCTAGTGTCAGGATTAAACAACCAAGGATATTTTCAACCGGAAATTAATCTGCAAGGCAAATTAAATCCAACCCCCATCACAACCGCCACATCACAATTAAACCTGAAGCGTAAAGAAAGGACTGCTTCTCAAACATTGATCGCCACTGCAGATATATTTGTCACTGCACAGGAAAGCTGAAAGTATAATACAACTTCAGGATCTTTGAAAGGGCGTTTCCTTTTGGCCGATGTCTATTTGTCGTCTCCTAAAACCGAAAAGGCTGCTGACAGGAGCTTGCAAGAGTGGTGGGCAAACATGTTACGCCATAACAGCTCTCTCTTTTACGACACATGCAGAGCTATTTTTTTAGTATTAATTAAGCAAACCCGACTAAATGGGCAATTATATGAGTCCCAACGGCTGCCGTTTCTGACATCAATTAGCACACAATTAACACAAATCCTATCTGAGGCAGCACAGAAGACAATCAGCAGCTGTCTGCGGGAGAAATGGAGGACTCACGAAAAAAACAATTCGCTGCAAGTGGGAAGCCAGTGAGAGATCACATCCTTGTTTGCTGCACTTTTGCATCGTGAACCTCAAAATGCAAAGCTCCCAAAAGTGTACGAAGAACACAACTTATGGTTTTACTTGGAATTGTGTCAGTTTTAAAGATTATATTCTGACCTTCCACTCTGAGTGACATGTATGGATGATGATATAGATATTTACTGTGTTCATATGTTGTTCGTTTCTTGTCACCTTGAAACGTAAGTCTTTGCATGTTCAGACATATGTATTGCTTGTGATACTATGTCGTATATCATATAAACTAAACTTAGATAACAGACAGATGAGCAATGGTGTTAAAAAACAACTTGGAATTGAGTTGAAAAAGATGAAAGGATACGGCTAAGCAGTAACCAATCCAACAAGCCTGCGTTTCAGTTCATAATGAGAGTTTCCACTGAAGACGATTCACAATATATTTGTAGTGACTTAGACTAGTTGCTTTCATGTGGGAGGATGAGAACACTGGTCCTTTGTGGCTCTGCCTGTGTGAAGGACAGTGTGTGGGAGACGCCACCTACAACAAGCAGGCTTCCTTTCGGAAAAAAACATTCATTAGTGGCAATGAACAGTCGTGTGTGTTTGTGTGGAGAGACGTCCTGTGTGCTGCAGTCAAAACTACTTGGCTGAGAAAGGTATTAATCATTCACATCTCAAACATAATTCTTATTTTATTAAGTAAAAATATCAATTTTTCAGGCCTGTATCCACATGTTGATCCAAATTAAAAGGGTTCATTTGTGGAACAGCTTTGAAAAGGAAAATAAAATGTTAAATACAATAAATAGATTTTGTATAGATTTTTATATAAATTAAGAGGATTTAAAAAAATAAAACGTTTTGGTGAATTAACAGAATAACTTATGTACTCACTCTTTTTTAGAAACAAGTCCTGTTTCTCATTTGAAGCCAGGAAAAGGCTAGTAACTGTGACCTTTTTACTTACTATGGTGATTTGATCTATATGAATGGACCTGCCCATTGCCTGGAAAAGTTAGATGCCGCCTATCACAGTGCTCTAAGATTTGTTACTAACTATAAAACACTTACACATCACTGTCCCCTGTATGCCAAGGCAGGTCTGCCTTCACTAACTGTACGGAGGCTCAGTCATTGGTACATGTTCATTTACAAAGCCATGTTGGGTAAACTACCTTTTTATATCTGCTCTCTGATCTCTCGACAAATTGAAAGTAATTATTGCCTGAGATCTCATTATGTTGTTTTATTAAATGTGCCAAGTGCTAGGACTGTCTTAGGGAAGAAAGCTTTTAGTTGTGCAGCTCCACTAACTTGGAACAGTCTGCAAACATGTTTAAAACTGAGCACTTTGGTTCCCCTGCATCATTTTAAAACTCGGCTGGGTGACATGCTGTTTGATACTCATGGTACCTGTCACTGTAAATAGAGTTTGTAAACTGTACCCTGTACATTATGTTGTATGTCATCCTTATTGTTGTTCTGTTGTTTTTATGTTACATGTGTAACTAATGTCCTTCAGGTCACCCTTGAAGGGGCTTTCACCTGGTTAAATAAAGGCTACAAACATTACACCTGTGTCCTACAGCACCCTCATAGGTTTCTAAGTGTAACTACACGACAGAACAGTTCTGCCGGTCATGCCGGCGCATAACACATTTTTGTCATAACAATTTTTCCTCCTGCCTCTGCCTGTTCTGGCAGGAACATGTAGGACATATAGCTTATTAACTATTTTTAGAAAATTCCAACTAACAAGGGCTACACAGTATATGTGGACGCAGCAAGAACTGTGATTGCAAGAATGTGAAATGCTTGTAATCACGGCCATTTTGATGGAAAAACCAGCTGTTTCTCAACTGGAAGAGCTTTTATCAGAGAAAGCCTTCTCGCTGCAATCCTCTTGATGTTTCCTCTCTATAGTTTTAATAAATCACTCACTATGCTATAGGCACCTTTAACATCGATGCAGCCACAGTTCACCACAGACATATCATTCAAGATTGACATGCTGGAAAGCCGAGGACAAATCTCTAGTAAATCTTTAAAGCTCCTGCAGCATTAATTTTTTACATTGAGTGTCTGTTAGTGTGCATGTGATAGCATTAAAAGAGCATTTTATTTTCTCTCGTCAGTTAATACAGCGAGTGTTAATGTCTGAAGTGTTATGATTCAAACTGAATTAAAAATAAGAGCAAAGGCAAAGAGAATTGAGACAGATGCTTTAAACTTCTGATGATGCCGGAGTGCCAGGCATTAATGCATAATCTGTCTCTCCTCTGTAAATGATTCCTCTTTAAAGATGGTAATGGTGTGAGTGTAGGTCATGCATGAACAACTCTGTGTGTGTGACTCCAGCTGGTGTAATTGGATTCGCCAAGAGAGATTCTGCATTTAGAGGTAATGTTTTCAACTTTGATCACATTCATTCATATATTCTTATTATAGGTAGATCTCCAAGGACACCTTTTCCTACACCAAAGCAATCATTTGCAAGCTATAAATAAGAAAAAGTGAAGCAATACAGAAGAATAAGAAGTATGAATTAATGCTGTTTTGATAAAGACTTCTACAGGACAAGAACAAAATGGGAGAGTGCAGAAGAAGCTGGAAGTTCAAACTTTAATAAGGGCTTTTTGTCATGAATATTACAAGATTCTCCTTCCCTCTGCCCTGTTCCCTCACTCTGCCCACATTACTGCATTTTGTCATTTGGAGCTTGCAGCTTCTGCAGGACATTTTCAATCCCTCAATCTCCCGTTGTGTAAAGTGCCGCGCGCGCCTTGGCATCTACGACAGCTAATGTGCACGTCTTATCTAGGCAGACATCCAGCAGATGAAAAGCAAAGTGTGCATGGTTACATATGAGACAAACACTGAAGAAGAGAAGTATCCATCTGCTCTGATACACTAACAAGTGATAACTTGTCCATCTGCCAGCCTTTCGTTTAGACAAGATTAATGCAATCTATTCTCCAGCCCCCAAAACAACCAACTTTGGACTGTAGAGTGGGTTGGACACAAACAATACACTGGAACATGCAGGAGCAGAAGAGAGGCGCAGCAAGGACAGGGATAATAACTGCCAATAGGCTGAATACGAAGGAGAACACAGAAAGATTCAGGGGGATAACAAAAGAAATAGAAGAAGTACAAACTGAATAGAAGGAAAGTGAAAGGAGAGTGCCATCTGAGATGTGTGAATGTGAAGCGTTCAGAGTCCTGTTGTTATTGAGAGTCTATTTGGCAAAACCACAACTGGCTTCTGCTGCCTGGTCACTCTTTTCAGCCAGACAACACCGTGATTGTGTGTGTTTACTTTATACAACTCGGCCACATCTGTTGTATTGTGTGTGAGTGTCACATATTTGGTGTATGTGCAGATTCAGGGGTAACTACTTCAACCCTCTATCACTTTATTCAGTTCCATCAGTGCTAAAGCATCATAATTACCCCCACTAGTGTTTTCTCATAGGATAAACACACACACACACACACACACACACACACACACACACACACACACACACACACACACACACACACACACACAGACCTTTTAATTTATCATTTTTTTGCTGTTCCGTTCACTGCATGCACAGGAAGCAGACTGGCAGGGAAATACATACATGTACACACACACACACACTCACACACACACACACACACACACACACACACACACACACACACACACACACACACACACACACACACACACACACACACACATGTCCCATACACATCCACGGCAATGGATGTGATGAATATAAATTGCTCATTGCAAAGGAAATTGATTCTAAACAAAAAGAGATGCTTTGTTGGCCCTTGCCTTTTTAGAATCTATCTTTGTTTCATCAACACTCTAAATCCTGTGTCCCTATCCCTGATCATGGCAACACACTCGCACACTAAGATGCACAAATTAGAGTGTGTAGGCGTGTGCACATTATCTCTTTTCACTATAGAAGGGTTCCAGGTTATTCATTCCCAGTTTGCGTAAGGCAGTGTGACCAAGTCTATTACACAGTGGTGGAACAGGGTTATACAAATAATGTGTATTTCTTACACAGCACAGCAGTGCTACATTCTATTTTAAATGTGTTCATGCTATTTAAGAAAACCTTAGTCTTCACAAGTAAGTTATGTGTGTTTAATAAAGCCTATAGTGTGTGTTGACTTACCTCTGCGTCTCAGCGCTGTACTGACCCCGGCCCACTTGATTGACAGCACAAAGCCTGAACTGATAGGTCCTGGCAGGTGTGAGCCCGCCCACTGATACCTCGCTCACCACAGGATCGACCTCTGATAGGTAGACCTTCCATGGCGAGTCTAGACAGAGGACACAAAGATTAGATGCTGATGATATCTGGTTGAGGCAGGACAAACAGAGACACAGGGACACTCAGGGCCCATAAATCACAAAGAAAAGAAAGGGGGAATAGATAAAAGCAGCAAGGAGGGAGAGAGAATCAAGGGGGGGGGGGGTAAGCTTGAGAGAATTATAAGGAAAAAAATCACAGACCTCAATGACAGAGAAAGTCTGCAGGGAAGAGGGGGATTAATAAAGAACCACAGATGCTTCTCTATATTGTTGCCAGCTTATCTCTCAGTGTTCTCCTGAAGGAACCACAGAGACGCACTTTTACCGTCGCACCAGCCAGGCGAGGGGTGTGTGAGAGAAAAGGACGTTGCGTGAGCCATTCAAAGCAAGGCCAGCGAGTGTATTAGAACAATTGTCTGACATCAAAATAGATTGTGTTTGAAATGGGCCCATTTTCTCTAAATTACAATCCAAGACACACTCACACACGCACACTCTGAGATGAAAGCATGACTATACACTCACACAAACAGACACCTGGTAATCAGTGTCCCCAAAATGCTCATCCATTTTTCACTTCCTTTACTGACAAGACTATCATTATTTTGAATGAGTATTTTGAACACTCAAAATCACTGATTGCATGAACCTTGAAGTTATATTCCTGTCTCCATAAAGGTTGTGGGAATAAAGAGTATTTAAAACATTTATTGACATTTGTCCATCAGCTCGTGCTTGGTCCTGCCTGCTACGTAAACCTATCAACGTGATTAGCTTCCAGCAGGAGTAACAGCGACTCTAGAACCATCTCCCTACAATCTGTTTCTCCTGTCAGTCTATTACTCAATACCTCTCTTCCTCAATTTCTCATTTGACAGAGAGCCGGCCTGCTGTTTAAACATCTGTGGTAGAGAGAGGTAGAGACAAAGAGAGAGAGAGAGGGTAGGGGTGGATGGAACATAAGAGTTTATTTATAGGGAACCTGGATGTACATTTACGCAGGAACACAATTCTCCATATGTCTGCCTCTTGTAAATGAGTGTGTGTCAGAGCATGGAAGACAGCGATTTAGCAGCTGTTTGTCGCTCAGGGACTATAAAGTATATGTCTGGACACACACACGAACACACACACACACACACACACACACACACACACACACACACACACACACACACACACACACACACACACACACACACACACACACACACACACACACACACACACACACACACACACACACACACACACACACACACACACACACACACACACACACAC